GTTCTATATCATATATATAACAATAGTTTTAAAGAAATAGTTGATTTTAGTGATTATTGAATTAACTATTGTTTAGTTGAGTTTTCTTCGCAGTTCTCGCCCGCCGTAATGGAATAAGAAGAATTTGGGACGCAAGAATTACGTACAGGTGGGAATATCGCGAGTTACGATATCGCCAATAAAACATGCGCGGCTCTCTGTTAAATCGCAACAGCAACGTACGAATTTTCGAGCAGACCAATTTAATCCGCTAAAGTTTGACACGTGACGTCGTATGCAAACAGAGCTTATGACGAGCTTGCAGCGGCGTAGGCAAAAATACGTGCAGTGGGTTGCAAAACGGTTCGGACACAGTGAGGTTGGGGGCTCTAAACTATCAAAATTGAATCAAAATTTGTTTGTCATTACTGATAGACTTGCCTGATATAATTATATCATTAATTATTAACACTATTATCATTCACTGTTATTCATTCACTATTAATTCGTTATATTATATATTAATTTATTATTCATTCACTATTAATTTTATTAGCACTATTATCACTATTATTTAGTGTTCCTAATTATATTATCACTGCGTAAGTCCGCCGATAATGATTCTCAGTTTTGACAGTTTGCTGACGTCCCAATCCGATTGTCTAGACCGTTTTGCAACCTACGCCGTTAAATCGCACGTACCGCGATGCGTATTCGTCTGGAACGTTGAGTGCACCGTTCCAACGTTCGATAATTTCGCGATCTGCGCGTGTCAGCTGATTGTCAATTTTCTTTGCTTGAAAGATGCAAATGCAAGTTCGATCAGAAAATATTTTTTCGCGCAGTAAAATACACGGCTGTGATGATCAAACGAATAACCAGGAAATTAAAAATACACACGCCATATGTCGGAAGAATTAAGATTTCAGAAAGTTGAACGAGCGAACTTTGCAAAGCGGGACGATTTTTTATTTTGCGCACGTTATGAAACGTCGATGAAACGATCAGGATGATAACCCAGGCATCCTAATTAAATTCGCAGACTCACTTGCGAATATCCATAAACTTTGATCAACTTGTCGTCGGGGTGGTGTTCGATCCTTCCGCCGCCTACGCAGTTCGCTTTCAAACCGCTGTGTTTCTTCACCTGCTCGCTCACTTCGTCAAATATATCAGCTGAAACACCAAAAAAACACCAACAATCATGTTTCATTCACGTGATTGTAAATCTCAACAATTTCAATGATCTTGAAGACAGTTGTGCCGTGCATAAATTGCTCTAAATTACAAAATGGAATATGTATATATGGAGTGTGTATATATGTATATATATGTATACATGATTCATAATAATGTGTTATTGCACGTACAGATGTCGCTGTTATCACATACAATAATATATTATTCATAGATAAGACATTTTCGCTCTTCAGATAATTTATATCAAAAGAAACAGAGGCGATTGCGCAACAAGGCACGTTTACATTGGCGACTTCTCTTGCAAATTGAATGTCTGGCAAAAACATGGCGCGTTAAAAAGAGCTTTAACAAATACGCGATAAATAGCTGGAATTTCGACCGTGTATCGGCCCGCCGTTATTGCTGTTTCCCACCGAGGAGGAACGTCTGCCCCAATTTCCGATCTCCATCGTCTATCTCCCCTCGAAGCTCGCAAGAGATCGCCGATATCGCGTCTCGGATAGCTGCGGGAACGCTTCCAGAGAACGCTAATCGCGATCCTCGCCCTCGTTGGCGAGATCTTTATGCGATCGCAAATTGCACGCCTCTTGATAAACGCTGCACGAACCGCGTCGCATCGAACGCGATACAGATGGCGGCGAAAATTCGCACACGCGTGTAAGTATCGGGAGCCAATCAAGCTCCATTGTGCATCGGCGGTGTACCGGCGGTGCATCCCCTCGCGGTTCGCCCGGGGCACAAAAAAAATTTCAAAGGAAGGATTTAATATCAATTCGTGGCTGTCGCGCGGTGCACGAGTCGCGTGTGCGTCTGTGTGTATGTCCTGTGGAATCGTCCTTTGAAATGCGTTATAATGCTTTATATGCCGTGTTAACGCGCTAAGTGCACTCGACACGAGGATGAAGAGGGGCTGCCGCGACGAAACAAGCCGAAACAGAGCGCGAAATGCATCGCGCTGAACGCATGAAAAGCTCCCTCGTCGGCGCGACGTGGTCGCCGAAAATCTCAATTGAATTCATCGACAGGCCGCGGTGTCTACACTTCCGGTTGCGTGCAGTTGCGCCGGATACAGTTTGGCGTGCGGCGAGCGTGGAAAATATCTTGGAGGGTGCGAAAATATCCGAGGTATTCGCACAAGTGACCAAGTATTTGCTAAATTTTTATTTTGATATTTGAAAGAGAGAGAGAGAGAGAGAGAGAGAGAAGAAAAGATTTGATTTCTGTTTGAATAAAAAAATCTTTATTTCTTCTTATTTTTCATCAGTTTTTATTTGAATTGTATACGAATATCTTTTTATTTAGAGTGCTATTTATATTAGATGTATTGTATTGTTAATTACAAAATGGAAATGTCTATGAGCTTTTGAATTTGTCGTATTTTGAGATACTTAATTGTTTCATGAATATATTCCTAATGCCTCCGCAAGCGCGGTTTCTCGTTTACTCATGTTATACACGTTTATTTAAGGAATTTAACCGTGCAAAACGAAAGAAGAGATAGAGGGGAGAGAAATTTAAAATTGACAGTCGAGGTTCGCGAAAATCGATGAAAATGTGAAACGTCGAGGGCAGACGGGTGGCACTGGAGACTCAAGAGTCCAGAAAATTGAGGGGTTCCTCGGCGCAAACGGCTCTTTTCGAAAGCAACTTGGCCAAATTGCGCTTCTGAAAATAACTTCAATATCTTAAGCTCGATATTAGATACGTGAAGCGTCGCGGGGATAACCCCTCACTCTTGTTCACGCGATGGATGTTGTTCCTCCTTCCTGTTGTTCGTTTACTTTGAGTAAATTGAGTAGATTGAGTGTCCTCGCGTTTCAACGTTGCTTCATTAAATATATTCTGCAACGCGCTCACCGATTTGATCGTGCCGTCGCCTCCAGGCTTCCGCGATAAGACATTCTATACAAAATCTATAAAAAAAAAAACGATCCTTCCGTATTTCTGCGAGAAAAATAGTCTCGATAAAAGCGACTCACGGGTATTTCCGAGGTAGGATCCGCAGTAAATAGGCACATAAACTACCAGCGAACCCTTTGCCGTGGATTAATGTGTTTGAGAAAGATAGGGAAACAGTTGTATATAACTTCCGTCTCCTAAATAAATAAATTATTCCTCGCAGCGCTTTTTTTCGTCAGCTCGAAACGCAATGCACAAAATGTAATGAATAATAAAATACAACAGAGTTATTGTAATAATAATATAATATTAAATGGATAATTGATGATTTGTATAAAATAAAACACGAATATGAGAGGAACAAGACGAACACTCGTTTTCATTTTATATGGATACATCCATTATCGATAATTATGATTAATCAATAAAGATTTAAAGTTACACTAGCCGTTGGCTTACAGCTGGAGCAGTGTTTGCAAACGTTTAAGCGCCGTTGCGAAATATACACGAGGCCGCCGCGTGCAAAATATTAGCGGGTCTTTGCATGATTGCGCAGAGGCGCGAGCGATAAGCATCGTGTCGGCGTCCCTCCCAAATAAGAGAAGAGGGAAAGGAAAAAAGAGAGCCGGCGGCGAGAGAGAAGATCGGAACTAGTAGTTCCATCCTCGTCTCGGGGTTCGTGAACCTTTGACCTCCGTGGGGTAAGGGTATATATCTCGAGTCTTCCGGACCTGTGTGTACCCCATTAAGTACTCTCCCTATCTCACCGCTTCGAAGTTGAGGAAACGAAGAGCAAGGACGAAAGGTGAAGGTAAAGGGGCGCGCACAAAGAGCATACACACGGCGAGGCCGTGCGTAAAAGCGACGTAAAGGAGATAATGGGAAAAATGGTCGGGGAACTCAGGAGGCGGAAATCAGCGCAAATGGAGAAACATCGTGCGTAGGTGCGGAGAATAGCCGGCCGTTTGCGATGACACTACGGATGTACTGCCAAACCGACTGCCGCGACGCTAAGGAAAATGTATCGCTGATTCTCTCATCCGTGTGAGAACTCCGCGCACGTAAAAGTGTCATGGATGTCATCAGGCGAGGGGCGCGAGAAACAAAATTGTTTATCTGCCGTAAATATCGCGAAGATAGAGAGCGCGATATTTACGGCGCGAACGGGAAATTATCTCTTGACAATCACAGCGATTGTATTCGTCGTGCACGATTGTTTATTCAACGTTTCATCAAAATATATCTGCTCTGCACGAATATCGTCGCGAACATCATCCACCTCGTTTTTGAAGCCGGAGGCGATCCACAGTCTGCAAATTTTATGAATTACCTCGGCAGAAAAATCGTGAAAATTTTTTACGTAACATATATTTTGTATTCATCATGCGTAACAGAAGCTTGAAAAACAAGGAGGGAACTCGGCGTGTTTGCACGTGCTGAAAAATTCATCGCCGCGCTACCTGCGGAGGTCCGCGTAACATGTGCTGCGACCATTCGTGAAAGAGAAAGAGTAGCGGCAAAAGCTCATAACTTACGAAGGAACGAAGCTCGGGAACGTGCCGAAAGTTCACTGTAAATATAAAGTTGCACGCTGTCGAAGCGCGGTTTGGAAAAAAAGAAATTGCGAAACCATAGGTTATGGACGTGGTGAACTTTTAGCTGATGCCCACGGAGTACTCTGTTCGCGCTGGAAAACGACTTTTGCCGCCGAAGCTGGCTTGGTTCTATTTCACGATCAGGGACAAACTAATCGGGGCATATACGCCAATCCAGTCGAGTTAATTTGCACGGAGCCGATACGGCTCCGAAAACTTCGAAATCTCTCGTCGCAACAGCCAGTCGATCGTGGCTGATCGTTTCATCGGCGATTAGTTGCCGCTACAATTGTTGATAACTTCCCCGAGCGATGTGCAAACTAAATTGCACGCGATCTGTCAGAAGAGATACGATTGCAGATTGCACGAAAACGATTGTGCGGGTAGCCCAGGTCGGCGGGAGTTCGAATTTCACGCCGACGGATTAACAGGAGATCAATGGGTGAGAATTTTAATTAAAACGCCATGCCAAACGCTTGCCCGTTGCAGCCACGAGAGATTCTTGTTTGTGTCGTGATAGGTTGATTTTATTCGTTGATTTTATCCGAAAATACAAAAAACAACAGACTGGATATAACTGAACACAGACGTTTTTTTATATTTCAGTTATATTCCTTTGGACATACTCAACAGGGGAATACTATATGAGACGGCAACATTTTCGTACTAACTCGTTACTCTTTACTCTTTTCTTGATACGCGAAAATCGAGAAAACTGAATTCTCCAGGTTCGAATTGGCCGTCAGAATTTCGTAATACTTTTTCGCTTGTTATGTTCTCCTGATATCAAAACGCGAAAATCGGAGGAACTAAATTCTGGAATTTTTAATTTCTCGCTAGAACTTCGTAATATTTCCTCGTTCATTTCGTTCTCCTAATATCAAAACACAAAAATCGAGGAAACTGAATTCTCGAATTGTTTTACAATTTTGTTAAATTTGTATTGTGTTGTGTTATATTGTATTATATTTATATAATTATGTTATATTTTTATATTATATTGTGTAAGAATGTAAGACGCGCGTCTTGCCTCTTAAAAAAAGTCGCCGTTTCTGTTTAGAATATACATTTTTTCAATTAAGTTACTCCCTTGGGATCTCCATCCCAGCGTGCCCCTGTGATCCTCGGTAATCGCGCAGATCTATACTTAAATCCCCCGCTTATCCAGCGACAATAGAACAGGCGCGTACGTTAAGAATTAATAGAAATCGATGACAAAGCAGCTGCCTCAGTAGGCACTAAAAGCACGGGCGGGTAACGCACTAAGTGCAAAACACGGTAAAGGTACTGAGTAAACAGCGCGTGGATATGGCTACTACAACATAAAATGGAGTGAGAGAGAGGAAGGAGAAGCAGGTAGGGAAGTGTACAGACTTCCGGCAGAGGAAGGCGCAGAGTTAATCAGCTTGCGTGAGTTTCTGTGGACGGTAAGTTCCGAAGCCGCAGAGAGGGAGAGAACGTGCGGGAGTTTACGTCGATTAT